CTCATGTGTGTTCCCCACCTACGTGGCCGGCACTCGCACGTGTTTTACGACTCTGCACGCCACTGATCCCCGGACACCCGCCACGATTCGCCTTCGCACTGTGCCAACCCTCTGCCACCCCTTTGCTGCCACTCGGCACCTCGCTATCGCTCCATTTCCTCTCAAAGGCGATAACCATGTTTCGTTTCTCGTTTGCCACCGCCACCGCTGACGATACACACTCGGATCGATCAGCGAGCGCAGCGAACGCGCACACGTGTGTCGAGCTTTCTCCATAGAAATTTGAAGAGAGATCGAGAGAGAGGATTGGCATTTGTCCTCGAGCGAGATTTTTAATAAGAATTCACTGACTTGCTGCGACGAAGTTTATCGTAGGTGGAGGATTTTCTTTCGGGAAGATGGAAGCTCTTTTTCTTTTTTTGTTCTTTCTAGCGTTTCGAGAAACTTCTTTTAATGAGATTTTTTGCTATTCTTTCTCTTGAACTTTCCTTTCGAAAGTTTTCGCAAAGTTTTCCATTCTTCCCCGAAGAAGAATCAGCATTCTCTTTTGTTCATCCTCCTCAACTCAATTGTAGCTGTTGGAACGAGATGAAACTTGACGAAAGATTAGAAATCATTATTCCGCTTCTTCGTCCGTACAAGAAATTCGTTGAGAAATTTTACTCGAGAACCTTTGTTTTTTTACTATCGTAAAGTTTCATAAATTCTTTCCCAAGAGTGAACATTCTCTTTTGTTCATCCTTCTCAACTCGATCTGTAAGAAGGCATCTGTAAGTGCTGTAAGAACGAGAAGAAACTTGACAAAAAAAATTGCAAATCAATTCTAAAGCTACTTCTCCGCGAGAATTTCATCCGAAAGCATTTATTTTACTATCGTAAATTTTATTTAACGAAAAATAATCCCAGGATCGCGTGTAAACGCGCGTGTAACTGAAAATGGTGAATTAGCGACGAAGCTGATCTACCCCCCCTGTCATTAATCGCTCTGGATCGAAAGCTCAAGGAGCGGCGGTCGCCTCGACGTGAATAATCGCGTTAACGACACGACACGTTGACTGGCACGGTCCATTAATCGTTACCAGAGCAAACGTTACGCCCGTTGCAGCAGACTTATTAATTCAACCGTCGATCGATTGTCAAATGGACACGCCAGGCTTGTTCAATAAAGATCGATCTCGCCTCCAAGTTCTGTAATTTATCGTCCCGCCGAAACGTCTTTGTTTATTCTATTTAAGTGTACGAGTGGAAGAACGATGAAAGATGTACAACACGCGAATTATACACACTGTTCGAGCGTCAGTCAAGCGCTTTCAACATCATCAGAATTAAACGAAAAAGAATCGAAAAGTGAAGTTTGGTCACTTTGATCTACCAACCCTTCATAATCCAACTACCATGGATTTTTATGTATTTATAGGAAATTTCAAAGTGCAACGCAGCAGAGAAACGCTGAATGAAAAAAAATATAAAATGCACGCGAGGCACAATGTTCTCTCAATAAGACGGTTCTCGATAAAAGGTTCAATTTTTTTTTTTTTTTTTTTTTTTTTGTTTAATTGCGTTGCCGAAAATGAATTTGCTTAAAACTTCGAGTTACCTAAGATCTGTCATAATCTAACGATAAGTCTAGTGAATCGTCGAAGGAATCGTTCAAAGATTCTTTTTCTAAATAGGCGAACGATGTTCGAGTTGTACGATTTTTGCAACATATTGTCGCGTTGTGTCCGAGCAGGTTTCGGTCGCGAAAGGTCAAAGTTATCGGTGAAACTCCTAATTATCCTAAAAAGGTGGGACTGGAATGTCGCGGTAAGTCGGTTACATTGGAAATGTCGTTCACCTTTGCATAAGAGACGGCAAATTACGTTTCTGACCCAGTTGCACGGCGCGGAGAAACGCTCGTCGCAGACAATAATTGCAGAAACACGCGGCGGGGGGGAAGTAACCGGCGTCGAAAAAGAAAAAAAAAAAAAGAAAAAGAACCGGTATACCGGCCCCTCGCGTGTAATTACGACTGGTTTCAGAAATGAAACGTGGCTCGTTAACATTCTGCCAAGTTCAATTTCCATTATCGCGTCAATTGTGAAACGCGGCGATAACCATTCCGCTTAATAAACGATCGTCCCTGGCGTACGTAAAATTATTCAATAAAAATAAAACTCCACGACGATTATAACGAAATTGTAATTTCCAACTCTTTCGAGGACACCTTTGGGTGTAAAAAAATCCTCTCGTGGAATTGTCAAATAATTTTGCGATTTTATTCTCTTTTCTAACTTGGAGTTGGAATTTTATTTAATTAATTATATAATTTCATAAATATAATATAAATATAAACATAAATATAATATAATATTGTCAAATAATTTTGCGATTTTATTCTCTTTTCTAATTTGGAGTTGGAATTTTATTTAATTAATTATATAATTTCATAAATATAAATATAAATATAAACATAAATATAATATAATACAAATATAAACATAAATATAAATATAATATAATATAAAATAAATATATTATTATAATTTTATAATTATAAATATAATATAATACAAATATATTATTATAATTTTATAATTATAGATATAATATAATATTAATATAAATATATCATTATAATTTTATAATTATAGATATAATATAATATTAATATAAATGTATCATTATAATTTTATAATTATAAATATAATATAATATAAATATATTATTATAATTTTATAATTATAAATATAATATAAATTTAAATATATCATTATAATTTTATAATTATAAGTATAATATAATTTTGTTATATTTTATAATTGGCAGATTCGTTCGACAAACTCTTCCGAGAAATACCAAAATTATAGTTTAATTCCAAAATTATTTTTTTTTAAATGAGAATCGAATCGACGATCGTGCAAGATCACTCGAGGTTAGATTTTAATTTAAATCTTGAATACGTGGTGAGAGGAAAAACGACGTGATTGAGGAAACTAAATCGTGAAAAGAAATCTTCAAGCCGAGTACTACTTTAAATTACACGCCGATCGAACGATACGTGACTTGCTGCTCGTTCCCGAGAACGAGTAACTATACCGATGTGCCACGCGAGCCACGTAATATTTCACGGTCTTCGTTAGGTTTGATTTTTAGAGAAGATTGGAAGCGAATCGTAGGTTACTTGGTAGATAGGAATGCACGACCAACGACTTTGAAACCGCGGTTCGATATCGATTAAATGCCACACTGGAAAGGTTAGCCCGACCTCCATCTTGATACTGCGGATTACTAGCTTAGCTTCTAATACCAAGGTCACAATTCGGCGACAATTTGCATAAAAATTTCACGACCGACCTATAGATCCGACATTCGACATTTCCACGCTCGACATAAATAAGTTCTAGGAGTATAGGAAATGTTAACGTCAAAATCAATGATTTATGTATATTATGTAACTTTCACTGAACGAAAAGTTAAAAGGAACCACAGGAACAAACGAATTTTCCTCAATTACGTTAAAATCTTGTTGAAATATAATGAAAGAATTGTCGCAATCAACGCGAGAGAGTGAAATTTTTCTACACTGCATTCTAACCAAGAAGTATCCGCCGAGTTTCCGAAGGGAAATATTGATTAAATGCGGAGAGGAAAGAGTAGAAGGAGAATAGAGGGAACAAGGGAATAAAAGGAGACAAATATAAACGATACTGGCCACGTTAACCAAGGATTCAATTCAATGAAATCTCCTTCAGAAACTTCCATCGTGTCACGAACTTTTAATCCGTGCAATCTTACCTTCGACGATTCTCTTCTGTCCAATTATTTAAACAATTTTTGTTTAAACATAAATTTTTCGAGCATTAATCACGTTAGAAAATTGATACGCTACTTGTGCTACGAATGTTCCGAAGTTTTTACGCATCGAAATAATTGTACCGACTAAATGACAAAATTTTCCGTAATAACGAGTAGTATGTTCAACGTAGAAATATTTCCGCGAAACTTTCGCGTAAATCCAAAAAGAACGGCGTTCGTACTTCAAGAGTGGCAAAGGAAAAAAGAACAGAAAATTCATTTAAATCCACGTCACCTGCTCGAGCACCCTCCACCCTAAAGATTGAGCCAGCGCTCGAGGCGTCGACCGCTGACCCACATATCCGAAACAGCCTCAAAAAACATCAACATCCACCCCTCCTTTAACTCCATTTCCCTCCAACAACGATTTCACTACTTTCAATCTCGAAAAATCAACAAAACTCTACAAAAAAGTCTCACCCCGCTGTGTCGCCAAATATATAGGGTTTCACCCACTTTCCTTTAACTCCCCAATTTGTGGAACGTTCAGTTTCAACCTTCGAGGAACAGAAATGATTCGATCACGAAACGCACGTCGAAACTCCACCCTTCTTTAACGACAATTCCCTTCAATTTAATTACCAACAGCTAATCAGCAAACAGAAAAAAAAAATCCACCGTCACTGTATATTTTTCAAACACACGTTACCCCATCCACTCTTCCTCAACGTCACTTCTCTGCGATCGACTTTTCAATTGTGTTAACCGTTCTACTGTTTCTTCAACCTTCGAGGGAAAAATTCCATAAATGCAACCCTCACTTTCGTCCAATCCATTCCTCGAGAGACCTACATCACCCAGTATCGCGACGATATTGTCAAACCCACCCTTTCCTAACCTCACTTTTTACCTCTCTCGACTCGTGCATTAGAGCCCCGCTGGCCTAATTTCATAATCCCAAGAGACCAAGGAAACGGGGGAAAGGGATGAAAAGAAACAGAAGCAGGAAACAGGAAATCCGCCATCTCGAAACCGCGTTTCTCGAAACACGCGTTTCAAAAGCAGAGCAACGCGCATCCACCGAAACGATCGTCGGCGTTTCAGCTGAGTCAGTCAGCGGAAACCCCCCCACATTTCGGCCGCGCCGAATCAGCGCACTCGAGATCGCAGGTGGGTTCGTTCTAATAATTCGTTCGCGTTCGTCTTTCGCGATCGTGTCTCACCTTGACGACGACCCGTTTAGCCGCACTTCAGGGCGCTATCGATCACCACGCTCCACCCACGAAAAATCCCTGCGGCGTTGGAGAGTTGCCGCGTGCAGGCTCTGAACACTCTGGCTCCTCTTCGCTTGCGATAGGTCGCGGTCGCGGTCGTCACGTGACGCGCAGGGTGCACCGACTGACACGATTACTCCTCACAGTCCGCGTCGCTGTCGCCAACACAACAACCACGCCGCGATTCGCCTTTCACGAATCTCGAGTAGTCCGACGATACTAGCTAACTAGCTAGAAACAAGAGCACGGTTTATTGTTAGTATTTGGCTGACCGCGAGAAATACTCTGAGAGCGTAATACTGATGAGCGAGTCGTAATCTGTTCTCTTCACTTTCGAGGGTGAGAACGTAGCGAACGGAATAAGTGTTCACGTCGCCGATTCGAATCAACCGGAAGAGAAAGCTCCAAACACAGTTGCTCGCTCAACCGTGAACCTCCTCGCTACGTTTCCACCCTCTTTCGAGGCGAGATTTCCTACGATCGTCAGACGAAAGCACGCTCCTGTTCTCCTACACGGGGAGCGTGCCTATCTCCATGTTGGAAATCCTACCTGGCCAGAGAGGAAGATAGAGAAAGAGAGAGAGAGAGAGCAAACACCAGAGATAATAAAAAAGGTAGAACACTCTTGTTAACACGCGTTGGTTTCGCGAACCGGGGCAAAAGTCCGACGCGGTCTCGTCGCAGCGTGTGTGCACACGGCGAAGCGTGCGTCCTCGTTTTCCACGGCGACGGGCACGCAAGCGCAGCCGGCCGTCGTCCTAACCTCTACCACTCGATAAAACTCGAGTCCTCGAGATGTGTGTGCCTCTCCTCTCTCTCTCTCTCTCTCTCTCTTTCGTCGCGTTACGTCAGCGTACGTGTTGCGTCAGCGGGGGGACGCGTGCGCGCACGTGGTGGCCCGTCGTCGGCACAACCAGCTACGTCGTCCTCGGTTTCTGCGTGCACGCACCCGACAGAGTTGTTGTTTGCTTGCTATCTCGGCTGCAAGAGGGACGGACGGTAGAGGGGTTGGATGGTGGTGGTGCTACGTTCGGCTGGTTCTATGGGGGTTGAAACGGTCGTCGCTGCGTGCACGCCTCGAGCTCTCGCGCGGGGGTGGAAGGGGCGTTCGCGTCCGTGCTTTCGTTTTCGTTTCGCAATTTTCGTTCGCGAGCTGTGACTGACAATGAGTGTATGTGTGTGTATGTATGTGGATATGTGTGTGTGTGTGTGTGTGTGTGTGTGTGTATGTATGTGATACAAAGCTCACTGTTATTCCAGAGGAGACGAGAACGAGAGATTACTACTCCTGTAAGGTGATTCTTTTCTAGGTGGTGTCAATTTAGATAGAGTCGCTTATGTCCCTTGACGAGGCAAGACGATGGTTTATTGGACGAGTGGTTTTGTGATTGGTTAATGGTGGTCGAGTGGCGAGTCGAGTTTTGACAATGGCGCGAGTGAACGATTGTTTGTCAAGCTGGCAGGATCGAAAGGGTTGTTGTTGGTCGTAAAGGCCGGCGGTTCAGGTCGTGTTCAAAGTGAATCTGTATCTCACTTGCTTGGAGGAGGTGGCAGAGCTTCCGCGCTCGTGAGAGCGGAATGAAATTTGAAAAGTATGATGTTTTCGTGCGAAACCGAAGGGATTTAAAATAATCTCGTTCCCCTCGGCTAAATGTCACAACAAATACTCCAGTTTCATTGGCGATGGCAAAGAATGATGGCAGAACATTGTGTTTTCAACAGTCGTAAAAGAGAAACCATGGTACTTGATTGAAATAATTGAATGGAAAGTGGCGAAACGAAACGAAACTTATCGTCTAATTATCGTTACTGTTATTCAATTGTGAAATATCGTGTACTGTCAAACATCCGCTCTAGACTACATTACCAAAGAGGTTAATAATGGTTTAGTGAATTCACAAGGACGAATGTCGTTAAATAGTAACGGCATTGTGCCGCGTTGGGAAGGTTAAACAAGCGTTACGCAATTATTTATTACGCCTGCAACGTCGGCGAAACGTTTCGTCGCTGGCATAATCGATTAAACGTTTCGTTCGACGTCAGAATTCCTAACAACCACGCAAACAGACGCAACGGCGGAGTCGGGAAAAGGATTTGAAATAATCGACGAAAGATACATTGTAATACTTTGACAAACTTTCGAAACAGAATGAAACTTGATCCGACACGCGATTTTAAGAACATTTACACCGGAGCAGAAGTAAGTTCAGAGAATTCTCAGAGAATTCTTACGAATTCTAACGTAATAAATTTCGCGCGCCGAAATTATAAACTAAGTTTATTGTTTACGTGTGAAACTCAAACTGACTGAATTTTTATTCTGGGAGTTGAAACTGAAGCTGAAATAGACCTGAAATTGCGAGAATTAGTTGCAAATCGTTTCAAAATGAAGGTTTCGGAGAATTAAATTTTGTAGAAGTTGATTAGCGTACATCGATCGAAAACTGTCATTCGTACGAAAATGAGAACAATCGAGCAGCATATTTAATCGTAATGTTATTATTGATGAAAATGAATTCTACGAGTCAGAGAGTGTCAGAAAGTACTGTGATAAATTATTCAATCGACGGTTGCCTCATAAACGACGGGAAATGATCCGGTGAAAGGGAAAGAGAGCCTAAATATGCAACGCGGACAATCCACCCTCGGTTGAAAGAGAGTCCGCTGTATGTCGGTCGAACTTGCGCAGAATGTTCGAGAATTTTATGAATGGAAAGCTCGCGTTAACGATCCGCCGAAACACCGAGTTCCGATTGAGAAGATCGCGTCGTCAGTTGCATGAATTTCGAGAATTCGCAATCTTCGTCCCACGTCTTTTTATTTTCCACTGTATATTGTCGCTACTTTGGACTTTAGAAATTAGGCTCTAGCTTTAAAGCAGATATGCGCTTGAGATCGAAAATCGTTTAGAAAATTGGGGAAGATTATTCAGTCGTTATTGTCAAGTTGTTACTGTTAAGAAGAATATTAACTTAGAATATTATTTAATTATCAATTAACAGCGATTGTTATTAAGAAGAATGAAAACAATATTTCACGTTGGGGTATAAAAATTAGGGTTTCTCCTGGAGAAAGAATACTTTTCAGTTTATTTCCCGTAAAAAAAGAGCAGAGTTATTTTCAAAGACAAAACCGTGTCAAATCTTCCTATCCTATAAAGAATCTCGAAAATAATAATCGATACAACTACAAGAGGAATATTCATCTGTCGGATGAAAGTCGTCGAAGTTTTGCCAGTCCAACTCTTTAATTCCAAAAACAAAAAAAAAAAAAAAACTCCACTCAGAAGTTTGGAGCATCGTTTTCTGAAACGTGCGAGGATCACAGATTGTTAATTAATAAAAAAATAAAAAAAAGAAAAACCGAAGAAATTAACAACCGAGGAAACTCTCTCTCTCTCTCTCTCTCTCTCTCAGCTTTCTCTCTGTACTGGATGGCTGAAATGTCGCGCAAACTGTATTGAAACGACTGCCAGGATACGGATTGCGTGACTTTTCGACCACCCAGTGTGTGAAACGCAACACCGAAGACCAAGAGGGTTGGCACACCGCGTGTTTGCGATCGATCGCCACCGCTGCTATGGAGATCACGATCGAATCGACGGCGAGAGAGATTTCTGCCGACGAATACCGGAAACAGCGGTGGGGGAGGAACATCGTCTCAGACGACGGAAGTGCGCTCAGCGTGCTGGAGATTGCCTTCGGCGCGGCCCAAGTTTTATGCAGATTGACTGTCGAAAGACTGATAGATTGCGAGTGGAAGGGAAGTTATGGCTTTAAGCACTTGCGTATGAGCTGTCCTAGTAAGCGTAGGTTATGGTTGCGGTGTAATGGCGGTGTACTTACGATAGATAAACTCTTACGTATATATGTGTATATTGTCTTAGTTATACAGAATGTGTTGAAATTTGATTAACTTGGCCAAGGAAATTATTACGATTACGCTGATGAATATTTGAAATTACATTTAATACAGACATCATACAGTGTTTGTATCAATATGATTCCGATACTCATTTTTAGCACTAGGTACTCGCGTCAAAATGATTTATACGAAACGTTTGGATGTATTTATAAAAAGTCTCTGTAATTATTCAAATATTTTAGCGAGCAACTGTGTGTGTGTAAAAACGAGGAGCCTAATTCGTGATACAAGCCAGAGTATTAAATACAATATCTCGTGTTTATATGCGAAATATAAAAGGACGATCGGTCCTGGATGACACTCGGGATATCGATTAAATACGCAAGGGGCCTATGTACCGCCAGCACGTATCCCAAAAGGTCCAACAATATTAATGATAAATAATAATATTAATACCTAGATAATACGATATTGTATAGAATAATTCCGAGCGTGAGATAATTATTAATGGAAGAAGTTAGTAATTGAATTGAACGAAATAAAAAGAACTTCTACATATACATATATACGTGTGTACTCTTTCATTAAATACAGGTTTAAAATACGTAAGTTCAAAATCGAATCGAAAATTGAATTGATTCCTTCTCAATCATCACCATCCCTCTGCGACGTACCAAATTCCTCAACAGCCAAATTACCTCGCCATTACAATGCCCTAGCATTCACCCTCCGAGGCCAATTCTCCCAACTTCTTTTACACGCATCACAAAACACCCCATCATTCGATATCCAATACTGCAAAACCCCGCGCGGCCACCCTATAGCGGGGTGAATTCAAAGCAATCCCTAAACCCCTCCTCGTGCTTACAGGCAGAGCCCTCGCGTCCCATCGCGAGATTTTCCTCAACCCTCTTTATCAGCTTTCCCCCCCTGCCGATAAAATCGCAGTTCCATCGCTTCGAATATTATGGTAAACTAACTATTGAATTATCTTTTTGCTCCGGTCATTGGATCGTATGTCAGAGAATATGGAGAATATTTCAGAATTTTAGCGGAGATCTCTTTTTGCTTCGAGTGGCCAATGATTGTGGATTGTATGAATTCTTGGAAAATTTAAAAGATGTGAAATATTTCGGAATATAGAGAATGTTATATTGAGAACAGTGTACTTGTTATGTTAGTAAGTGAAACGAATTTTTGTCTACGAGTAGGATACTGGCGAAGGAGATCAACCAGATATTTGAAAATAATTTACGAATAATAGCTACAAATGTACAATGTAATAACTAGAGAATTTTTAAATGTGAGGAACACGATACTTTATATTGCTATACTTGCTGTAAAAATTTTGTAAATTTGCAATTTGCGTTTTGTGAAATTTGAACAATTTTAGAAAATCACATATGAGCAAAAGCTGTAGTCGTTTATAATTCTAGTATATATACTTTTTCTCATACTTGATACTTTTCACAAAGTCGCTCCATTTCTACAAAATAAATATATATCTGCCAGAAAGCGATACGTACATTTTATCGAGATTATTGCACATTTTTTAAAAACACGTTACTTTCCAAATAATAGATGAAAGAGTCGAAAGCTACTCGAAGAATTGAGTCCAAATTTCCTCTGAACCAACACTCTCGATCAAAAACTTTAAAACAGATACCTTTCTCTCAAAACTAAGCAAAATTCAATGATACTTTATCTAATAATGAATCTTTAAAGTATTAATATATTAACAATTCCATAATAAAAATTTCATGACTTACGATAAATATAAATATCGAATATTGAGAAATAAAATATAGATAATATAAATATCGAGTATTAAGAAATAA